ACTATGGCTTGTGGATCAAAATCCTGCAGGGCAAACCGGTACAAATAAATCCTGGTTTGAGCAAAGTAAAACTGGTGTTTTGGTGGTTCTTATGTAAAACACTTTTCCTTTCACGTATGCAGCTTGGTTTTTGGAGAAGTCCTAAAACTCTACTGCTCTTCCTAAAGCTGTATTTCATTCTTTTTAGGATGAGTGGTTTTGCTCCTGTGCTTCAGCAAGGTACTATGGCACTTGTAACCTCGAACAGATTGTAATCCCAGTCAGAGAACAGCAGCTTCAGTTTTCCCCCTTGTGTAGGTATATTTATTTTACATACATACATGCAGGTAGAACGCAAAAATGGAAAAACTTGGGTTCTTGCTCGTGCAGTTAACTCTTGTTTAGTAGGTCTTGATTAATGCTTGTATAGAATTTGTTCACTTGAGCCTTATTGCAGTATCATGGCTTTCTTGTAGTTTTTAAGTATCCTTTTATATTAAAGTCCTTTATTTTGTAAATACCTCATGCTTTTGAGATGGCCAGGATAGTGAGTTTGCAAAACAATCATCTTTGCTCTTGGAAAACAGAAATAATTTGGATTTCATTTGACAGAAGAAAACAGCTTCTCTGCTGGTAGTTAAGTCATTTCATAAATTCTAGCTTGCAGGTGGCAGCTTGCAGAATGTGAAAATGTATTCAGATGATTTTGTTTCCTCTGACTTCTAGACAATCAAAAGGGATATTGATGATGCTTTTTCTTCTACTGATTTTCTTTGCTCGCCTTTTATAAAGATACTGGTGTACACAGCACTCATTTAGACATTTCAGTGGATCACAGTGGTAATTTCAGCTGCCTTCTTCCCATATGGGCTACTAGCATAAAGAAATTTAGTAAAGAAGTAAAATGAGTTGCTTTTATTTTACGAAATATACTGGAAATTTACTTGCATCAGATACTGGAAATTTGCTTGCATCACCCCCTCCTCTTCCTCCTCCTCTTCCCTGCTCCCTTCTCATTTTGGTTTGATAAATCAGTAAGTCTTCATTCTTACCTGGGTAGATGAGGGTCTTTGATGCTGATAGGATAGCAATGATGAAGAAATATTATAAAAACTTGTGTATACGTACATGAAACTAATTTATTTTGCTTGCTAGCGCTCCCAGACCGTCTCATTATGGAATATCCTGTCTCTTTGACTGACAGCGTCAGTGCAGATTTCCTCTGGAATGATGTCAATCCACAGAATCTTGTGTTCTTTGAAAACTTAGGGCGGGGAGGAAACCCAACCAACCCCCCACCAAAACAAAAATAGGCTTTTCATTAAACTATAATTAGAAGCATAAAGAAATCCTATTTTAAATGTTTTGTCTATTGTGTACGACATAATCAATGGCTTTTGTTATTTGAAGTGGTTATTATTAGTCATGGTTTTGATGTACATAAGTCAGAGAATCATAACTTTTTCATAGCTTGTTTAAACTGACCCACAGCCCATTGAGATGATTGGAATGACTCTGGAGTCAGTGAGCCTTGAATCAGACTGTAAAAGAGGACGATAACAGAAGTGTAACCTTTCTACTTCAAGTGGATTTTGTCTGTGAAAGCAAAAGAATTAACTCCTCAGTTTTTAACATCCTTTGTGCTTAAAGGAGATATAATCATAAACCTTTGAAAGTTTTTTACACTTGAAAGGTTAATACTGAAGAAAGGATTACTTCTACATTTACGATGTGATATGATATCATTATGTATATCGTGTTTTAATCCTACAGTATTTATATCCATTTTCCTAACAGTTTGTTTGGAAGTATTCCTACAGTTCAGCTGCTGAACAGTGAAAATAAATCATTGAGTTTTACTTTCTCATATTATAAGCAAGTCTATTTACTCACCAAAATTTTAATGGAACACTTAAGAAAAATAAATAGGAATTGAAACTGGTTGTATTACATTCTCTGATTAAATTTCCCATTTTGAATGGATCCAAAAATGTCTAGCTTTTTCAGTGGATTTTAGTCCTGCTTTCAAAAGAAATAAAGATGAGACTGGTGAAAATAAAGAGCTTTGAAGTCTTTCTAAAATTTCTTTTGTTTTCTTACTTACCCTCAGCGTTTAGCAAAAGGAGGGGAGGACTGGCAATTGACACGTTCAGCTTCTGTCTGCTTGTGCCAAATGATGTGAATAGCTACGTGTGTTAACAAACTTCAAATTACACATGCATTAAATAATGAAGTGACAAATACGAAATTACAGGTTGCATTTAAGACAGCGCCCTGCTGTTTTTTTTCCTGCTTTAGATAGCTTTGTTTGCCAGAAATTGTACCGTGAAGCACTCTAGCCTTTTTGGTTACTGTGGTGCCTACACGGTTTGAACTTTTTACCATCTAATCGGTTTCTTCTTGCTATGTATTTTCTCTGTGCTGTGTGGTAAGTCAGTAGTCCGCCTGAGATATGCTTGCATTGCATCAAAAAACTCAGAGGGACTAGAGGAAATTCTGGATTTAGCAAAGGTACCTCTACCTCCAGAGATCGATGTGTATATTAGGGAGTTCTATACTGACAGAAGTCTGTTGCAGTTGTCTGAATTAATAATGATGTTTGGGCATGAAAAGTTACTGTTTTGTTGTAGTAGCATCTGATAGCTCCCAGACATAGGTCATCCTTTGTGTGTGTGTTCTTAGAATCATAGAATGGTTAGGGTTGGAAGGGACCTCAAAGATCATCTTCATCTAGATGGAACTAGATGATCTTTGAGGCTGGAACTAGATGATCTTTGAGGTCCCTTCCAACTCTAACCATTCTATGATTCTATGATTCCAAGCCCCCTGCCATGGGCAGGGACATCCTCCACTACACCAGGTTGCCCAAAGTCTCATCCAACCTGGCCTTGAACACTTCCAGGGATGGGGCATCTACAACTTCTCTGGGCAACCTGTTCCAGTGCCTCACCGTCCTCTGAGTGAAAAATTTCTTCCTTAGATCTAATCTAAATCTGCCCTCTTTCAGTTTAAATCCATTACCCCTTGTCCTGTCACTACACGCCCTTGTCAAAAGTCCCTCTCCAGCTTTCCTGTAGGCCCCCTTTAAGTACTGGAAGGCTGCTATAAGATCACCCCGGAGCCTTCTCTTCTCCAGGCTGAACAGCCCCAACTGTTTCAGCCTGTCTTCATAGTAGAGGTGCTCCAGCCCTCGGATCATCTTTGTGGCCCTCCTCTGGACTTGCTCCAGCAGCTCCATGTCCTTCTTGTGCTGGGGACTCCAGAGCTGAACACAGTATTCTAGGTGGGGTCTCACAAGAGCTGAGTAGAGGGGCAGAATCACTTCCCTCGACCGGCTGGCCACACTTCTTTTGATGCAGCCGATGTTCTTTCACACAACAAAAAGATATCTGTGCCCCAGAGAGTTTTTGATTTCTACCTGCGTTGTACGACTGATCTGATCATGAGCCGCATGTGTAGTTGGAATTTTTCTATCTGTGGTCCGCTCCTGGGAACACCTTTTTCAGAAACCTCTTGGGAGTGAATTGTGGGAGGACGAATTAATCTTAGAGATGTCCACTTGCTCCCAGGCCGTGTATCTCCTACCTACCCTGCATGCCCTTCATTGGTGAGCTGTATGCCAGGTAGATCTACCACGTTCTTTTCATACCACCCTTTCCCAGTAAATCCTTAGAAGAGAGTATTTATTTCCAGGCTGAGAGATCAGGTCACTTAGCCAGAACAGTCTTGGCTATACGTTAGTAAGACTTGAATTTACCCCACAATTGCATCCCAGTTTACTTCTGAGGACTACTTTACTTGTATCAAATTATGCGTGCATAACAGATTTGCTAATAAGGTCGTAGAGAGGCCACGGTATATTTGTTGCTGAAAAAAATTCACAGTCTGCCTGAGTGAAAAGCTTGGTTACTGCTGGGTGAAGACTCTTGAGGCTCTTTTTGTGGTGCCTTCAGGGGTCTGCTAGTCTGTTTAGTGAATGGTTCTTCAGTAGTTTAAAAATAATCTCAACAGTTTTTGTCTTGTATTAATAAAATGTATTAGCTGGAAAAAGTCTTCCTGGAATACTTGATGTAAAAGATACTGAGTCGTTTAAATATGCTTATTTGTTGGAAAAGTAGGGGAGGCTGCATGTCTGAAATCACTGGAAGTAAGAGTGTTGGTGTACAAAGAGAATTTGATGTTCGTCACAGATACTGGTTTGTTTAATAAATAGTATGTGTGAGTGTTGAAGTGACACTGTATGTCAGGGCAGCTGCAACAAAAGTAATTTTTACCCAGGCACATTCAATCCACCACTCTGCTCAATGATACAGAAAGATTGATATGAGAGATGGTCCAGGAGAGCTGTTTGATTTTCGAGATTCACCTCCCACAAGCTCAAGATGGTCCATCTTGATGGTCCATCTTCCATGCAGGAAGGCAAGCAAAGATGTCAGGAGGCCCGCATGCATGGACAAGGAGCTCCTGGTAAAACTCAGACATAAAAAGAAAGCACACAAAAGATGGAAACAGGGTCAGATCACCCCAAGAGTAATATGGAGGCATTGTCTGAGAGTGCAGGTCTACGTTAAGAAAGCCACAGCCCACCTGGAGTTGAATCTGGCAAGGGATTCAACTTGTGAAAGGTAAGGGCTTCTACAGGTGTATCAGCAGCAAAAGGAAGACTAGGGAAAATGTGAGCCTGCTTCTGAGTGGAGGGAGGGACATGGGAGAGAATGGGAACTCAAAACCTTCTTTGCCTTGGTTTGTACTGGTAAGACCCACCTTCAGCAATCCCAGGCCCATGAAACTCGTGGGAAGGTCTGGAGTGAGGAAGAGTTACCTATCATTGAAGGAGGACCAGTTTAGGGAACGTATAAACAAATTGGACATACAGAAGTCCACAGGACCTGATGAGAGGCACGCACAGGTTCTCATGGAGCTTGATGATGTCAATGCAAGGCCACTCTTGATAATCTTTGAAAGGTCATGATGACTGGGTGGTATTCCTTTAGACTAGAAGGAATTCCTAGAAGGAATATTCTAATTCTTCTATTTAGACTAGAAGGATTCATTTAGGCTAGACTAGACTCTTCAGAGCAGATGTCACCCCTGTCTTCAGGGAGGGCAAGGAAGAGAATCTGACAAAAATATAGGTTGGTCGGTGTCACTTCAGTCCCCAGGAAGGTGGTGGAGCAAATAATCACGGAAAAAAAAACAAAAAAAAAAATATTTAGAAACCATTTCTAAAGAAGGAAGGACAAGACAAACATATGAAGGATAAGAAGGTGATTGGGAGAAGACAGCATGTTTTTTATGAAGGGACAGTCATGCTTGACCAACCCAAAAGACTTCTGTGATGAGATGACCGCTTTCATGAATGTGGGGAAAGCAATGGATGTCCTTTATCTCAACTTCATCAGGGAGTTAAACTCTCTCCTGTAACGTCATGCCCGAACAGATGAAGTATGGGCTAGATACGTGGACAGCGAGATGGGTAGAAAACTCTCTGACTTGCAGGGCTCATGGCCTCTGATCAGTGGCAAGGTGCACTCCAGGGGTTCATAATGGCTCCAGTAGTGTTTAGCTTCTTCATTAATGACCTGGACAGCGGGACAAAGTGCACCCTCAGCAAGTTTGCAGAGGATACAAAAGGGGCAGGAGGGTTTGATGCACCAGCTGGTTGTGCTGCTATTCAGAGGGACCTCAGCGGGCTGGAGAAATGTGCAAACAGCAAGTTCAATGAAGGGAAATGCCGAGTCCTGACACTGGCGAGGAGTCACCCCATGCACCAGTACACATGGGGGCACACTGTCTGGAAAGCAGCTTTGCAGAGAAGGACCTCAGAGTCCTGGTGGACACAAACTGCCCATGAATCAGCAGTGTGCCATTGTGGCAGCCTCCTGGGCTGCATTAGGAAGTGTTTCCAGCAGGTTGAGGGGGGTGATTCTTCCTCTCTGCTTGCACTGATGAGGCCCACCTGAGATGCTGTGTCCAGGTCTGGGCTCCCCAGTACAAGAGAGACATGGACATACTGGAGTGAGCCCAGCAAAGGACCATGAACATTATGAATAGATCAGACCACCTGGCTTATGAGGAAAGGCTGAAGGAGCCGGGACTGTTCAGCCTGGAGAAGAGGAGGTTCAGGGAGGATCTCGCAAACGTGTGTAAATACTTGATGGGGAGCAGTAAAGAAGACAGAGCCAGATTCTGTGGTGCCTAAAAGGACACAAGGTAGTTGGCACAAACTGAAATACAGGAAATTTAATTTGAACATGAGAAATACATTATTTTTTTTTTACTCTAAGAGTGATTGAACACTGGAAGAGGTCACTCAGAGAGCTTGTGGAGTCTCTGTCATAGGAAATTCTCAAAACCTGACTAGACAAGATCTTGAACATCCTGCTTTGGGGGGAGTTGGACTAGATGATCTTCAGGGGTCCTTTCCAACCTCAACAATTCTGTGATTCTGTAATACGAAGATGAAGTAGGTATTTGCTGAAGAGCTTTATCTGTGCTCTCAAAGACGTAGTGTGAAATAGATTTTTTTTTTCCAGGTTATGTGAGTGTTATTTGAAGGATCATGTGCATTAATATTTTATAAATCTTAGAAGCAGTGTAGCATGGATTGTTGAATGTTATGGCGAGAGAGGCAGCATCTCTTTGTCAATCACAATTGTTTCAGGTCTCATGTGTGCCGTTCCTCAGCTGCATATTAAAAACTGAAAGCCATGAAAATTCTGCTTGCATTCAGTTTTGCAAATAAGCTGAATTTATGAGGTGCTGCTTCTTCAAGCTAATACTGTGTAATTAGTACATTTACCAGAATAAGGGTGTTTTGTGTTGATCCGGTAATTAGGATCACATCAAGTAGAAAAATGTGGATTTGGTTTGTGTAGGGGAAGATATTCCTTATCTGGGGCTCTGAGTATTTTTTGTTGGAAGAGAAGGAGGCAAATGATCAGAACATGCTGTCAGCAAGGGACAGAGTAGGCAGATTGAGGTATTTTCTGTGCACTTTCGAACTAGAAGTGCAAAACATGTACTTGAGGATGATGCTGACAGGGACACTCCTACTTATACTCTGTTTTCTTCTTCCTGGCTAAATGCCTTATGTTGACCATAGCTACATTTCAATGAATCTACTGTGTTAGAATAATTTTGGGATGTCTGCGTCTGGTGGTGTGATGTAAGATTCAAGTGAGTCAGGACATGAAATATTGTGAAATTCAGCTCCTAGGCACTTGATGAAATTTGGTCTCCAGTTGAAAGAGCATAAGGGTATAGGTAATCAGAGTTGGAGCACGACAGGCTTTGGACAGTCTCATCTTGCCTTCCTACATTTCAGGTTTCTAGTGTTTCAAAGGAATTGACAGTTCTTAATAATTCACTTTGAAATCGGTTTCAAGAAATAAATAATTTAAACTTGCAGTGGGACACGCCATTTGAATCTGTTGATTTTTTTTTCCACTCCAGTTTTTAGAGGAAACCATCTATTTGACCAAGATGAGTAGTATCTTCCTTCCAAATTATCGCAATTTACTTTCATTTGCATCTCTTCAGAACCTTTAAGAAAAAGTCTCCTTATGGATAATCTTAGCAAAGCTTTCTTATGTGAAATGGAACTACTTTGACAAATGAACAAACTGAGACAAATTGATTAGACGACTACATCAACAAGCAAGAAAAAAAAACAACAAAACATCAAAACCTTTTTTGATCATTATTTTTCTGATACAAACCAGCAGTGTATGCATAGGGTGGTGTCAGTATAAAAGGTTTAAGATAATGCTATGTCTGTGCAAATTAGCTCTTTGGGGTCTCTCTTCTTTTTGTAAACATTTATTTGGGTCTCTCATATATATTAACAAGTTTGACTTGTTCAAAAATGGCATTCAAGGCATGTGACAGCCGTCTTCAAGTCTGATATGAATTTATGTCAGCTGCTGGCAGTTTCTGTGGTTCCAAGCGAAGCGTTGGTAATCCAAGCTTTAACCTAAAGACAGAGTGGAATGCAGGTCTCCCATGTGATAGCACGTTATGCTATTGTCAGGTGAACTACTGGACTGACCAGATTTGATTTTTTTTTTTCAAAAATGGGATTTATTTGCCTTGAAGCCAAGATTAAATTGGCTTCACATCAAAAAGTGATCTTTTCAGTGATGTACGGAAATAGAATTGTCAAGCAGCAAATGTATAAATTCTGTAAGAACGGGCTGTCTTATGTTCATAAAGATTATTACCAATATAGTATCATTTAATGTGAAACTCTACCTAAATGTTATTTTTCTTTTGCTGCAGAACTTTGTCAAGTGTGAAAGTAAGCTCCTGTAATATCAAAAAAGTCTGTTTTTTCTTTCAGCTTTTGCTGTAAGTGTTGTTCCCGAAGGTGCAGAAGATGAGACTGAACTACCAGTGCTGCAGGTAATAAATTTTAATTACCAGAGCAGGAACATTTTACAGACATTACAAAATAATTTACAAAAGACCAGAGCAGAAAGCCTAAAATCTGTGACATTGGTTATTTTGATCATTGGCTTCAGTAGTACTAAATGTCATATGATGTCTTTCTGTTCTGTGAGGCACCTGAGAGACCTTTAGTGGGACACAAGTTACATATAGCACCACTCTTCTAGTATTACTAGGATCTTAATTTATCCTATGGATTCGCAGAATTACTAGACTAAACTTATACTTAGCTCTTTTGATTTCTTTCTTACACTGGATTTTCTGATTTATGTTGACATTTGTATAAAGAGAATTATGGGGTTTTTGGGGTTTGTTGAGGAACAAGATGATGATTTAGAAAACTATTTTCTTTTTCCAGGATCATCTGAAGAGCACATTAGAAATTTATAGTAAAAAAATCTTAGCGATTTTGCATCGCTTCTACATGTTGATAGCGTTATTGCCGTTGAGAGTAGTTTTTCAGTATATAACTTTTATTAGTTCAAAGACAGATTTTCCTTTCTTCTTGGTTTGGTTAAATATACGATGCATTGAGAAAGAAATGGCTGCCTCTCTGTTAAATTAATGTTATTACATATTGCTACCCAAGTCACAGCTCAAGTAAAGCTTGCATATGAAATTCCAAATTAGCAGATTAGAAGAACTAATGCTCTGAGCTAGCCCAAGCATTAAACAGCATAATAAGTGTTGGGTGTGTATGCATGCATGCCCTTTAACAGATTTCTATTACCAGTTTTTTTATATGTATGTATTTGTAACAGGTATTTGTGTATGTATAAAAGAGATTTAAGAGAGGAAAATCAAATAAAAGTGCTGCAATGAATCAAGAGTTAGAATCTACAACTGCCATTTAAGTCTAGTGATCTCACATCAGATGCAATGGAAGTATGGTCAGAGCTATGTGTTTCTAAATAATTTTTGGTTTTGATGATGATTGCTATGTCTACAGTAATTTTCATAAATCAAAAAAATCCCTATTGCAAACTGCTGATCTGCATTATATCTGAGAGACTAGGTAATGTCATTCTGTTTTCATCACTTGTAAGTTGCTGTTTGTCAAATTCCATTACTGTCTCAGCCCAGCTGTTTAACATTATCATTCTTAAATAGGATATGATTTATTAAAGCTTTCCTACTATTTTAGAGTTTCAAAACCTTCCCTCAGATGAAGTCAGAGGCGCCTCCTAGAACTCTTCAGGCCAAAATCCCTTTTTTTTTTATTTTTTTCTTTTTTTCCTTTTTTTTTCTTTTTTTTTTTTTTTTGCATTGCCAGGAATGTAATGGACAGCAATGGTTTTGTGTTTTAATAAAGGTGATTGTAAAATATGATTTGTTCGTTGCACTGTGTACTATAAAACACATACTTTTTTGTTTGCATAGAAAATTCATCTCGTCATGTTTATGATATAGGGTAATGTGGTGTCTATTAAGCTGTAAGAGGGCAGTAGTGTGTATAGTCATCAAAATAACTTAGTCTTATAAGAATTTTTTTAAACTTCATTGACCCAGTCAGCAAAAAAGGGTCATAAGCATGGGTGCAATGCAGTCCTCCTTGAAAATGCTTTACAACCAAGGAGGTTGGAGCTTATGCATTTCAGTGTGAAAGTCAGACCTGGACAGAGGGAGAGGTCATCTGAAGCAAATAGGACTAAAAGGATTAGATAGATATGATATTTAGAAAAAACAAACAAACACCAAAAAAACAGAAGGAGCAGAAAAATTTGTTTATAAATAGGAATTAAATAACGAGGATAGGAAAACTATATGCAAGTTTATTACCGAGGAGTGCCCTGTGTGGCATTTATATCTGAAGGTCTCAAAACAATTGAACCAAGATAAATCCGACAACATCCTTATGCAATTAGTGAAGATGATCTTGATTTTACATGTGGAGAAACAAAAGCACTGAGGTGCTGTTACCAGGGAGAGATTGTGCAATAAATGAATCCTCTGTTTTCCTTCCTGCTACTTTGGTAGGAAGTGCTAAGCTTTTTTCTCCAGTCCTATCTCTCTACTAGTCAGCAGTTCTTAAACAGCACCTTTCCACCCAGCTCTGTAACTTAGAAGCAATTGAATATGCTCCTAAGATATTTTTATGTGTGTGTCACTGTTGTCTGTTCCTCAGCACTCTGTTAAAATTCCATCACAAATGTATGTGATACCTGAGTAAATCCCAGTGAAGTCATGTTATGTACAATTTTTTCATATTTCATATATATTTGATAGTGGATCAAATGAGTGTGTTGCGTAGAGTCCTGTATTCCAAACTTTGTGATTGGAAGTCACATATTAGGAAAAAAAAAAAAAGACATTGTCAGTATTAACTTAAAGAGCTCTGGTATAAATTGAATCGTGGAAAAGCATTCTCTCTTTTTTTTTTTTTTCCTTTTTATTATTTTACTGTATTGTCTGAATAATATGATACAAACATAGAATGGTTTGAGTTGGAAGGGACCTCAAAGATCATGTAGTTCCAACCCCCCTGCCATGGGCAGGGACACCCTCCACTACACCAGGTTGCTCAAAGCGTCATCCAACCTGGCCTTGAACACTTCCAGGGATGGGGCATCCACAACTTCTCTAGGCAACCTGTTCCAGTGCCTCACCACCCTCAATGTAAAAAATTTCTTCTTATGTGTAAAATATCTGTTTCGATTCTTGATGATGAAAAACTTTTTAGTTTTTTTACTAGTTCTTGAGTTAAAGTCTCTCTGTATGCATTTACAATGATGAATGCTTTGACTTCCTTTGCATGTCTATAGAAATATTTTGAGGTTTTGCCTGTGTCCTGATTTTCCTTTTTTTCCTTTTTTCTAGACGTCTGAAAAAAGTGGAACAATTAGTAAAATTAGCCGAGGTAAGTGCTGTATAGTCCATATATATTTTCGATTGTGGCTGTCTTTTTAGTATAAATAAAATACGGTTGTGATTTAAAAAGCGACTATGGGAACAGTGCCTAAATGTTCAACAACGTTGTTAGTGAATTGCTGATTTGCAAATACTTTGCATATTTTTTCAATTTGCTTATATAATCTCATCAAGCAGAAGCTTCTCGATCTTTGTATTTGCAATTCTTGTAGTTAAGTGTTTTTCTGAAAATGCACTTGTGCTATGAATTGATATTGTGCTTTTTGTAGTACACAATACTTTAAAATCAAATTTCATGATACTTAGTAGCAGTCCTTGTAAAAATTTAACATGAAACTGAATTTTACCATTCTTCTAGGCTCTCATGGTACTTGTTATAACTAGGGTGGTTATAAATTACTTGTAACAACTTGTGATAACTTTCTAATATCTGGAAACAAGTATTTAAGAAAAATGTCAAACATTAATAGTATTCTGAGTGGTAAAATAAATTTTTACTGGACATGTGAGATAAATTATGAGGATAAAAATCCTGCAAGCTTCTGCCTTTTCTGAAAACAAGTCTGATGTCCTTCCAGTAAAAAGTTGGAGATAAGGACTTGCAATCTCTGCACTGTAACCTAGTGCTGTCTCTGCTGTACTGCAGCAGTTCACTTCTTAAAGCAACTTGGACTGTTATGGTACTTCTCACTCTTCTAAACCCTGAGCACTTGGATCTGCTTGTTCTAAAAAGAGCCAGCTTGACCATGTGTCTGTTGCCACCATTTCTGAGTAGTTGTGAGTTCATTCTGACATCAAAGCTGAACACCAGGAAGACTGATTATGCTTTTAGTGAAGTTGCTAACAGAATTCTGAGTGGTGCTGAGAAGATCTGGGTTTTGTTTGTTTGTTCGCTTTTTTTGGACTTAGTTGCAAGCTCTGTCCCTAACATAGATAAACACTTTTGTGGAAAATAATTAAGTCCCTTGTCCCATTTATCTCCCATTTGACCATTGAAAGATTAGGACCTGTCTATAGAAGCTTTATTACTCTGTTTCCCCGTTCATCCATCCTTTCCTGGTGTAAAACAAAGTTCATTTCCTCTTTGTGTTCTTTCATCTCTTTCTGTGCAATCTCATAGCACAGCCAGGTGCTGGTTGCTGCTTTTATCACTCCCAGCAGACCTGCTGTATTTCACTTCATAAAGCACCCAGGGAGGTATTGTCAGAGTTTTTTGGCTTTTGACAGTGCTCAGTTTTCTTAAGTTTTAATATCATCTCATTACTTACAAAAGTTATATTTAGGAACATTACAAAGGCACATTATTGATGTAACTACCATCTGTCATCTATTGTTTGTTTCAGTAGGAGATCACTTCAAAGCAGACAAACAAAAATATTCTATGCAGCAGGTACTAAAATTTAGAAACTGGCTGCCACAGAAGGTTGTGGAAGCAGACCATATGAGCAGTTTCAAGAGAGGACGAGTCCATAAATGTATGGTAAGATAAATAGGCAGCAATGTATCTTCTGGCATTTCTTAATACAGTAGTTGTGGATGCTGTTAGAGTATGAGGAGCACTGGAGAAAGTGAAGGTCTTATGGTGTCCCTAAGTAGTGTTTCCTATTGCTACTCTTAAAGACAGTCTACTGGACTAGATGGACCACTGGTCTGACGTAATATGTCATTTCTTATGTTCTCTGTCTTTTTTTGAATGAGATTCTGCCTCTCCTTAAAAAAGAATATTTATTTTTTTAAATTCTCTTTTAACCTATTTCTGTGGGTAAAATCAAGGAAGGACTTGAAACAGAGAATGAAGTTCTCAGTGGTTCTTAGTTCCTGTGGTTTTTCATTCCTCATTTTCAAACTGTTACACAAGAAAATTCTTTCTTCTTTATAAATAAACTGTACCTTTGTACCAAGGAAGCAAAGTTACCATCTGTAGTTTTCCTTTCAAAGTTTTTTAAGTGTCCTTAGCCAAGCCTTTGAAGACGGATATCAACGTCTAGATATCCTAGTCACTGGGAAGATAAGTGTAACACAGAGGAGACTGAACTTCCTGTTTTCATGGTTGCTTTGTCTACCCAGAATGTGATGTAGCTCTCTGGGTTGACTGGTGTGCAAAGATTTTCATGCATGGATGTGTGATAGTCCAGCCAAAAGATCAGCGATGTGACTTGCCGATGTTGAGTCATCATTGCCACACCATGGCAAAAAGTCTTACCCTTCAGGTGGATGTACAGGTCCTCCATGGGTGGGTGTATTTGTCCCCAAATGGTAGGTATTGTTGCTGGCCAACAGTATTTTCTGCTTTTAGAATATTTGAATAACAAAAGCAAATTTCTTCTTGGAAGTGAGGCACAGGCTATTTCAGGCTAGTGTGCAATGATTTCGCCTTCTTTAGAGACTCAAGGAAGCGTTGAGCTTGGGAGCGTGAGTTGTCTAGATTCCTTCTGCAGTCTGTGGAAAGAGAGGGACACTTCCAGAGAGTGACTGAGATCCAAGGTAGGTTGAGTCATGCTCTCTGGAGATGCTACTCTCACCACAAGAGTATTAGCTTTTGTCGGCAAGGTGAGTGGATATTTTTGTATGTGTGGGTTTTTTTTTAACATTTTTTAAGTGAGAGAAGAAGAATGAAGTAGTTTGAGGCTTTTTTTTCTTGAATTTGATTCTTGCAAAGGTAGTGGTGTTAAACTTCCTCTGATCTGCCACTACCTGCAATGTTCTGAAAGGATCAAATGTATTTTTTACAGTTACATTCTTTTAATATCCTGCCTGGCCTAGTTCTGTGTTTTATCTAGACTCTAGGAATTAGTGTGGAAAGTTTGGGTGGAAAGGTGAGAACAACACACGAGGTTTAAATAAGTTTTTTCTGTAGTATCAGAACAAATGTGTAGGTGATGAACCTTTTTTTTTTAATCGGTTAAGTAAGCGTTAAGACACAGTGAATTCTGAAGTGGTGAGCAACATACTTTATCACAAAACTATGAAAGAATGTGCAGTTTGTTGAGGAACAACTGGATACTATTATTTCTAATTTCAAGAAGTAAACAAAGTGTGGTGCTTTTTTTTTTTTTGGATGTTACTAAGGCTAGTAGCGTAGTAAAATTCAGTAAATAGAAATACCAGAAATACTCAAAACTATGTTAAGAGAGAGTGAAGTTAGGATAGCTTTCAGTTCTCATGCTGCAGGCCAGAAACAGATAATCATTACAATGCTTACTGTGTATATGATACATGAGCGCACACACAGAGATGAAATTGTCTGTCTGTCCCTCTCTCTCTCTCTGCATACACTGCCTTTATTCATAGATTCATAGATTTCTAGGTTGGAAAAGACCTTAGAGATCATTGAGTCCAACTGTCCCTAATCCCCATTAAACCATATCGCTAAGTAGATCATCCACCCTATTCTTAAACACATCCAGGGATGGGGACTCAACCACTTCCCTGGGCAGCCTATTCCAGTGGCTGACAACCCTTTCAGAGAAGAAATACTTCCTAACATCCAACTTGAATCTCCCCTGACTAAGCTTATACCCATTTCCTCTTGTTCTATCACCCAACACTAATGTAAAGAGCCCTTCCCTACCTCCCCACCATCTTTTCTCAAGTATTTGTAGGCTGTAATCAGGTCTCCCCTCAGCCTCCTCTTCTCCAGGCTAAACAGCCCCAACTCCCTCAGCCGCTCCTCATAAGTTTTATTTTCCAGCCCCTTGACCAGTTTAGTCGCCCTTCTTTGGACTCGCTCCAGGAGCTCAATATCTCTCTTAAAGCGAGGGGCCCAGAACTGGACACAATATTCCAGGTGCGGCCTCACCAGTGCCGAGTACAAGGGCAGGATCACTTCCCTATTCCTGCTATTAATCCAGAAAGATCCCAAAAACTTTTAAATAAACACATTTACAAATTATTATTCTTAGCATGGGAAAAGACTTGTCTTTACTTTTGATTGTTGAAGCTTTATACTAGGCTACAATAACCTGCTCAAAATATAAGAATTAAAAGATCCTGATTTGGAGTTTCAGGTTGATTTTAGAGTTGGAATAAAAGAAGGGGAAGGCCTACAGAATATGCATAATTTTTTAAAACCCGAATTGGAGGCTGGATTTTCTGACCTACACAGTAGAGTCTCTGGTTTGTGAGTTAAAATACCAGTGCTTCTGCAGTTTAGTTTTATCTGGCTAAATAACAAAAGATTTTGTACTTTGTCATTGAAAAAACGGGAATGAAAACCCCATTGTCATTGTACAAATATTCCATTTAGCCTCAAACAAATTAATTTTATTTCCATCATTTCTTAGGAAAGAAAAACCCAAAGAAAAGAGGAGCTAGATTTGAGCACCATTGACAGAGGTGCAAAGATGTCACTGGTATTCTTTTAACCTCTTAGGAGCTGGTGGTTAGACTGCATCCTAGTTGTTTTAAAGTCATAATTGTAATTTTTTGTGGAAATGTTTTGGACCATGTCACACATACTCCAGGAAGTATATAAATCACCATGGAATTCTGTCTTTTCTGTTGATGCCTGTTCTACTTTTTTAATGATGTATTTAAATATTCAGTGAGTCAGAGATGTGGGTTCTAGATGCCCGCTGTGTCAGGAGTCAGGTAATTCGGAAGCTCAGGACCATTTTTACTCTTCTCTGTTTCTAGAGCAATAGGAGAGAATGGGAAAGACCCACCTCAGAATATACTTGTAGCTTGGAAATTAGGAGACTGACTTGGAATGCCAGAGACCTACGTTGAGGTCCAAATGAGAAATTTGGTTTCTTGCATCCTGAGTGAATGCTTTAACCTCTCACTAGCAGAGGAAGGCTAGCAGACAACATCGTTGTTTTATGTTCTTCTAGGAGCTTTTTTCAATTTTCAGGGTTTTTGGACTGAAATGTTTGGTTTACATTTTTAAGTAGCTTTGAGTTGACTAAAACAGCCTTTTGTGGTGAATAAACTTTGCAAAAAAAACCCCAACAACCATAGAGGTAGTTTATTTATGCTGGTTGCTATACTGCAATGCTTAACTTTCAAATAGCAGAATTTCCCCACTGCCGTTTTTTGAATTGATTTAGTGATAATTTCTAAGGAGCTCTGTTTTGCACAGGTTGTTGTATACTTGCTAAAACACACATTACTGTTGATGGCTTGTTAATAGTTTTTTAAGACTCCATTCTGTTTAGGAATGAGCCATGGTTGTGATAAGACTCAGGAAGTTTCAGCATTCCTATTTCCCAATTTTTATTTTTTATTTAAATAATTTTTTTCTGTGAACTTTTAGTATCTTTCCAATCATTGAGCATTTGAGATAGCTGAAGATATTTTCCAGATATGGAAACATCTTAGGGAAATAAAAGAGAAAATAAGACAACAAGAGAAATAAAGTATCAGTGTATCTGTAGCTCTTTTGGATATTAATCTTACAAAAGACTCCATTCTTTTTCTTGCTTGGTTGACTATTTCTCGACTTGAGAAACAATTTAGGTGTTTTAAAAATATAAATGCTTTCTGTGGACATTTTAATACAATGACTGTTTCTTTTTATGAACTATTTTAAATTGTCTGTACCAGAGGAAACTGTTTCCATTGGATTAAAGCAGTAACACCAAAGTATGTGTTAGATTACTCCTAGAAAGTCTTCTATTGTGGGATATCGCAGCTGTTGTTAAATGTACCGTAAGTGAAACTGAGTGTAATTCGGATGTGTGCGTATCTGTAAATGTACTGATACTAAACCAGTAATTATATAAAGCAATATAGCTTTTGCTTTTCATCTCTGGTGATGTTTTCAGTGTTGTGTATGTAGATTGAGCCCTTTGAGTCTCACTAGCATCAATGAAGTGTAATTTTAATTTTTGCACTAATTTTAATTTTTACACAGGAAATCTAGCAAATGTCGTGCTAGTTAGCAAATAGCTGCTATTCAGACATTTTTATTGTGTGTGGGTTTTTAAAAGCAGTTTGTTGGGTGGGTCAGAGCATGAAGGAATGCTGCATGGGAAAAAACATGAAAAAACATTCACACAATTTGACATTTTCAGAGTTTGTTTTGCTGAATAAGTTAATAAATTGAGGGAAAAGATTATCGGGGGAAAGCAGAAAAGCATTTAACTGCAGCTTTGAGCTGTCACAGGTCTAAATTAAGTAACTGTTCAGAGGAACAAAGGAATGTAGTCAATGGTCAAGTCTTGGACATGGCAATCTTCTCATAATCTTAGCGAAGATATTTGGGGTTAATGCTCTTTTTGTTGCCACTGTTTTCCTTGTGATCCTTCATGTGGTCAGTTTTACTCTTTTTCCTTGAGACTACTGCTTTCCTTCTTCGGTCATTTATTCTACATCTTTGTTCCACTGTTCTTCACTCATTCTACTCCATTTGCCAACTTAGCATTTTTAACCTAGAGGTCAAGATCTTGACGTGAAACTAGGATCTTTAAGGTTGACTTGATCTACAATGCAAGGATATGCATTTTAAAAATAAATATCGCATGATGTAAAACTTGAATTAGTACTGCAGTGAAACTGCAAATTTAAAGTGCTGTAATCCTCTGCTGCCCGACAAGAAGCTTTGTGTGCTTCCTCTAAGGTGCTTTGTCCTTGGGGTGTGTGTCTTCACACAGACATTGCTTGTGGTACAGTCTGGCAGCTTTCAGTCAGCCGTGACTCTGGACTTTCTCTACTGAGCTTTCGTCCTGGACTGTCTTCAATTTGACATTTATACCTCATTGACAGTTCGATTTCAATAGAATATCAGGAACTGTTCTCAGAAAGCTCTCCTAGAGTTTTTGTATCTTTAATTCCTCCGTCGGCTTTCATAATGTTGCTAATGATGGTGCTCTTGAAGTTCTGCTTTTCTGAAATTTGACTCCTATGTCTTTTTTGTTACCTATATGTTTTTTTTTGGTGTGCACTTTGTTCCTTTTGCACATTTTTTGACATTCTGTACAGATCCCATGGGACTTCATATTTGATTTCTTTCCTTTTGGTACTATCTTGTCTTGGAGTGATGTCATCTTTAAACATTAACACAGCAGCCTGTCTCCTCCTTGAATTAACTAGAATCTGTTATCTTTTATTCCTGATCCGACTGTCACTTCTGATAGAATTTAAATACAGTTCTCAGTCTCCAGCCTTCCTCTCCACAAGTTTAGACTTATCTCCTTGTACACTGCACATAGAATCATAGAATCATTTTAGGTTGGAAAAGAGGTTTAAGATCATAAAGTCCAACCATTAACCTAGCACTGCCAAGTTCTCCACTAAACCATGTCCCTAAGCACCACATCTACACATCTTTGGAATACTTCCAGGGATAGTGACTCAATCATTTCCCTGGGCAGCCTGTTCCAATGCTTGACAACCCTTTCAGTGAAGAAATTTTTCCTGACAACCAAACTAAATCTCCCCTGGTGCAAATTGAGGCCATTTCCTCTTGTCCTATTGCTTATTACTTTGGAGAAGTGATTGACACCCAAATCGCCACAACCTCCTTTCAGGTAGTTGCAGAGAGCAATAAGGTCTCTCCTCAGCCTCCTTTTCTCCAGGCTAAACAACCCCAGTTCCCTCAGCCGCTCCTCATAAGACTTGTGCTCCAGACCCTTCACCACCTTCGTAGCTCTTCTTTGGACACGCTCCAGTGCCTCGATGTCTTTCTTTTAGTGGGAGGCCCCAAACTGAACACAGTGTTGGAGATGCTACTTCACCAGTTCCTACTACAGGGGAACAATCACTTCCCTAGTCCTGCTGACCACACTACTGCTGATACAAGCCGGGATGCTCTTGACCTTCTTGGCCACCAGGGCACACTGCCAGCTCGTATTGGGCAGATTGTCAACGAACACCCCCAGGTCCTTTTCCGCTGGGCAGCTTTCTAGCCACTCTTCCCTTTCCCTAGGCCTGTAGACTTGCATGGGGTTGTTGTGACCCAAGCGCATCATTACTGTCTTTTTTGTTCCTTAGACAGTAATTGATCAGTCACTTACTGATATCTATTGAGTTATTATACCCCGAGCTTCCTTGACTGCACGCTTTCTGCATAGTATTATAAAGTTCAGCTTTTTCTGGCAAACCAAACAGGATCTACAATATAGTGTCTCCTCATCTTATACGTTGCTACTTAGTTATGGTCTTTGGGTGGGTTATACAGCATAGGTCAAACTTGTTAAGAATTCTGGAAAGGGCATCTGTCCTCTCCTCTTCCTTTCACCTTCTCATCCTCTGCTGTGTTCTGCTTCTGAATGGGATCAAACCTGCCCATTCTTCTTAGCTGTCAAAGTGCTGAGAGGTTATTCTATCTACTACCATTAAGAAAATATGGCTATTTTCTTCTCCGTAGTGTCAGCCTTTGTCACCTACTTGCATTTTTTTAACAAGCATTTTCTTCTGTCTATAAATGTTTGCAAAGCTACTTCATTATTTTCTTTTAAGTTTCTCATTCTTCTCTGCTGTTGAAAGTTCTCAGTTACGTTGCTTTGAAACACTGTGAAGATACCTTTGAGGTGTTGATGTTGTCCTGTCAGATAGAAGTATTACCTCATTGTTCTCATGAGTGTCTCTCTCCATCTGATGTTTGTTTCTGGGTAGGATTTTAAGCTTTTTATTGAGGAAGCATCTTTTCCATTTTGTGTTCCTCCATTGCCTAGCGAGGAGACATGCTGGTCTATGACTAACACTTTCTAACTCTGGTAACAAGGAGTGCTGGTCTATTGGAGAAAAAGTAACTTCATGAACGTGGCTACTGTTAATTGCAGGTAAAGGTTTCTTTGTGGCTGCAGATCTCCTAGTCATGTCGTACTTTTTATGTGTTGATCCTTAAAAGGACTGTTTTGTGGGGTTTTTTTTGTCTGTTAAATTATACCTTTTTATTATATCGTGAGATGTTTGTATAACTAAAGAAATGACTTACTATGTAATAGATTCCCACACACACTCGGGGTCTCAGTAGCTTTGGAGCAAAACTGAAAATAACTTATTTTGTCTTTAAATCTTCTTATTTTCTGGTTCACAGAATTAAAAGAAATTGTATTTGTCATCCAGAGTCAAAGTAATTCTTTCCATTCCAAAAGAGCAGAAGATCTAAAAAGAGATATTTTAAAACAGGCTGCAGATCTTGGAAAGGTATGTTTAGATAATATAGATTGCACCTTGTTATGTATGTTTTTACTGCATTTTACTAAAAATACCATTTTCTATTGCGCCTTTTTTGGATCCATTTTATTCATTGTCTTCTGTGTACTCTAAAAGAGAACTATTTCGGTACATGTTTACTGATTTTATGCTGTATCACCAAATAATTTTAGTTTGAACTATCTACCTCTTTGTATAATAACTGTTTTTGTTTGGATGGCATGTGATGTACAAGTGATAACAAGAAAGACTTGTAGCATGTGTTTAAGAAAAAGTCAGCTGCTTTCTTTATGAAGTGAAAACCATAATCATTGAAGCACTACTTAGAAAAATTTTTAGGCGAATGCTTTATTTTATTAGAGCCAATGAAGATGCTGTAATGTAGACTTTGCCAGAATTTCATTGTGCAACTGTAGCATTGTGGCAGTAGAGCAGCAACGAATGTGGACATCAAAATCCCGACGCAGGGTTTGCTACTTCCTGCAGTAGTCTTCCTCACCTTTCTTGCCCACGTAGGTATTAGCTCCCTCCCTGGTGCAGTACCTTCCCTAACTACTCCTTGTTCCTCTGGCACCCCGCTTCAGGCTGAGCGCTGCCTCTCACCTGCTGGCCTGGGAGCTGCAAGTTGTACAAGTCTGGTTTTGACTTTACACTCTAATACAAAATTTTCCTTGTAAAGCTTTAGCCTGGAGAGAAGAGGTTTTTAAGGGACTTAAATTGAAAGTGAAGTGTACATAAACAATGCTTTATTTTCTTTGTCTTTAATAAAAATAAGAAAAAAGTAAGGGAGACATACATCCCCTGATATGAAATAGCTTGCTGTGTGGTTATTTGAGCAATTTTTCAATTCCAGGTTCTTTGTTGTAAAGGACGAAGAAGTCTGATTTAAATTGTCTTATGTATCTTGGCCTTGGAGTGCCTAAATCAGGTTCCTGGATGTTTTAGGCTTTGTTTTTCCAAGCTTATCAAACCTGTTGTAATTAAATCCATTCTAAAGGCAATTTTTAATCCCTTAATGAAGCCAGTCATGTGAACAGCCTTTGTTCTGCGGAGTTCCACTCTTTCAGAGTCCTCTTTGGGATTGAGGCAAGTGTTCATATATAATGTGTGCAGAGAGGATTATGGCTTCAGCTGTTAAAAATAAGCAGTTTAGCTGAGTTCTGTAATTGATGTTGCCGGTTATGAATGATGAAAAGGTCAGTAAGTGGAAGTATAAATAATTTCAGTGAGGCAGGAATATAGGCATGTTTTATAGGAGAGAGGTAAAATCTTTTTTGTAATTAAAGGGTTGTAACTGTGAGTACTTCTGCCTTGAGCAAACTGAACTGGCTTTTTAAAACTTTATTGTCTAATTAAGGAAATTCCTTTACAGGAATGCTGAAGTGGTGATGCTTTTCCAATATTAAGAAGTGCCTGTTAAACAGCATTTGTGGCATCTTAGAGAAGCAGCCTTCCAGTACTTAAAGGGGGCCTGCAGGAAAGCTGGAGAGGGACTTTTTACAAGGGTATATAGCGATAAGACAAGGGGCAATGGATTTAAACTGAAAGAGGGGAGATTTAGATGAGATCTGAGGAAGAAATTTTTCACTCAGAGGGTGGTGAGGCACTGGAACAGGTTGCCCAGAGAAGTTGTGGATGCCCCATCCGTGGAAGTGTTCAAGGCCAGGTTGGATGAGGCTTTGGGCAACCTGGTGTAGTGGAGGGTGTCCCTGCCCATGGCAGGGGGGTTGGAACTAGATGATCTTTGAGGTCCCTTCCAACCCAAACCATTCTGTGATTCTATGATTCTAAATACATCACACCAGAAATCTCATACCTGAAATCTGGGTAAGCCATCAATGTACAGGGAAGAATGAACGTAGCCAGCATGTACTTGGTATGTCTTGATTGTTTTTGTCAATTTGCAATTCCCCTGTATGGCACTGTGAAGCATGACCCAATAATACTAGTTACGGAGAAGAGACAGAAGATCTCTGAAATCCTGCACATCGACATTTGAAGTTCACATTTTTCATTAAAAAGAATTCACATGAAATTACTACTTTCAGACAAAGGAAGTTAAATCCTTGTGTTTTAAAGGACAACTGCTGTACAGCAGCAGAGGACAGGTTCAACTGAATTGTCAGGTTCACTTGCCTGTCGTCACAGGACCAAACGATAGATGTTTAGTTCATAAGGATTCATTAGTTATTATTTTCTGCTGTTTTAAATTGAGAAGTGGAAGCCAGCTGTTAGCTTGTGCTAATTAATGAAACTATAATATCTGCATTGCTTTAAAATGGATTAAATCACTCACATTCATATTTACATTAATCTTTGCAAGTAATTTGTTCATTTATTTTCTTTCACTATGTACTTAAAACATTTTTTTTCATGTGAAACTAATCTGTAATTGCAGTCACCAGTGGATGTCAGTGGTACATTCATGCTTCAAAGCATATTCCATAGTGATTTATTGAACATTAACCAAACTCTTAATTTAGAGCATAGCAATGAAGACAATTCCTTAAGGTTTTTATCAATTTTCTCAATTTTCTGAGATTTCTGAGCATTTAAGAAGCGCTGTAAACTAGACCTTCCTAAGAAACACCAGATAAGAATAAGGAAGCTGTCACAGTGTGAAATTATAATATTTGGGACTCTTCCCTTTCTATCTTCTTAAAAAATTGAAAACTGGGATTACTTTTTGGCTGTTACATTTAAGACTAGAAACCAGGTAAAATATGTTTTTTGAAAAATGGTAGGATTTTGTCTGAAATACTGTTTTAGATGCAGTTAATGCTATTTAATTGCCTGGGATTGTGACGTTGTTTTGAAGGCAAAGGTCTGTGTATTTCTTTATGAAAACTGGCCTAGTAGAGTAAATATCTTTGTATTTTTTTCTTGAGAGTTTTTATATTAAACACCCTTGGCCAGTTCATTATATTCAAAAAAATTTTATTTTTCCTGAAAAGTGTAGAAATTAAATGGTATCCTGTGTGTATTAACCAGAACAAGTATCACAAATTAGTAGTATTTATTATGGTGTTTAAAAACCCCACAAACCAATCATAGAATCATTTAGATTGGAAAAGACCCTTAAGATCATCAAGTCCAACCATAAACCTTGTACTTGCTTGGTCCACCACTAAACCGTGTCCCTAAGCACCACATCTACAGTCTTTTAGATACTGCCAGGGATGGTGACTCAACCACTTCCCTGGGCAGCCTGTTCCCGTGCTTGACAAGCCTTTCAGTGAAAAATGTAAGAATAAGATTTTAAGACTGATACCACAGAGTATTGTAAAATGAAAATGAGCATCACATACTCCCATATGAATAGTAGATGATGAGACGTGTGACCTCTGTTTTGTAGAAGTGTTATAACTATAATTTGTAGTATTTTTACTATTAGGCTTAATTTTCTTTGAGCAAAATCCTATATTTTTTTCTAGCTCACAGAAGTGAAGTTTCATAGATTTAAACTAACCCTGGGTATAAAGGGGAGTACTGCTCGTTTGAGGTCTGTTACTGTAGTGATTATTAACGTGAGTTTGAAAGAAACAAGCACAGTCAAAAGCATGGTACTGTACAGAAGAAAACCTCCATATTACATTGCTTGAGTAAATACTTTCTTTAGCTAACATTTTCATTGAATTTTCATAATATTGTTTCTTTATCTATCTCCCAATTTCCAGTCTGGTTAATGTAAAAATAGGTGACAAACGTTAGGAGCATTCTGTAGTTGTCTTTGTTTATTTAAAACAGTTTTGCAAAATTCTCTTTACTGAAGTGCAGCAGGAACAAAAATGTTGAGAAACCCAGATGGCCTTTGCCACTGCTCTGTGCCTCAGAAGTTCAGTCTCTCTGCCATCTTACAGGATCCTGCTTACAGAAGGTTCTGGTTTTCTGGTTCTAACACATGTTGACTATAACTCAGTATCCTAGCTGCTGCGTCTTCAAGGTTTAAAAGCCTCTTGGTGCCTATCTCAGCTTTATTTTATTGTGTCATTAGAGTCATGGCCACAATGTCTGTTGCCAAAGTGCCAATTGTTGTTGAGTATGGCATATGTGCATTAAAAATCCATTATTTTTAATTGCCTAGGCTGTACTGATGGCAGCATCGCCATTTCAATAATATGCAAGATTTCTTTGTTAAAATGTTGGAGAGGGGGAAAAATAGTATAATTGATCTGCTTGAATTTTCATATATATGTTAAGCTGTCACTATATTCCTGCCTGAAGTGATCTGACTCCAAATTATTCCTGCTCATGTTTTGGCTGTCTGTGAGAGACTACTTCTAGGGAATTTGTAGACGGTATCTTTTTTTTCTTAATTTGCCAGTGGGACATGCATTCCTTTTCTGGGTGAATCAACATTTTCTAAAGTTCGTCCTAGCTCTACTTCCACATCCGATTTCAGGTGCTGGAGTGAAGCCAGCTGAATTAGTGTTGTCCAAAAGCCTCCTTAAATATTCCTCTGTTATTGTTTTGATACTATTTCTACAATGAATTCTGACATCCGTATCTCACCTGAAAGAGACTTCAAAATACTATCAAGCTATGATGGAAACAACTCTGAAAATGTGTCTGGATTTTTCTTGGCCTGTTCTAGTAGTTGCCTTATTTTATTCCTTGTTAGATATATTCCACAAATGAACAGGCATACATTCCTCTTCCAGATCTACGACAAGGTGTATAGCTAAAATTTCCCGATGGTTCTGAGTCTTGGAGTGGGTCTGAACTGTTCTGCATTTTACCCTTGCTATAAAGCACACATACATGTGAATCATAGAATGGTTAGGGTTGGAAGGGACCTCAAAGACCATCTAGTTCCA